CATGAAGGGGGAGCCCTCATGACTTTGGCCCTTAACCCAAAAGTCCCACCCGTTAATACCACCACAAAGAGGGAAGTTTCACCACAAACTGTGGAAGGACATAAACATTCAAACCATGGCACAGGGGCTGGGCTAGGGGATGTCTCCATAAAGTGGGTACATGTCCACTCCCAAAAGAAAGGGATGAGAAGAGGAATGCGAGATCATCACTACATCGAGAGAAAGGAGAGTCGAGCAGAGGAGCGTAGTGGCCATGGTGGGCATGGCGACGGCTCAGATGAAGAAGGTGGTTGCGGATTTTCCTGTTGCACGCTTGGGTCCAGTGGTGGAGCACAACCACATGCTCGCTGAGAGTAGAGAGTTTACCTAGGCCCGTAGTTCTGCCTGACAACTGCAGTGAAAAGGCACAGGGAGGGTGCTGAGCATAGTGGCAAGAGTGTTTTCGGAGTGATGGAGGCTGGAATGTAAGCTGGGTGGGGGCGAGTGAGGAGAGGCGGGTGGGTTGGGAGATGCAGTCTGAGAGGCCTCTGAGGTAGGAGCATCTGGACAAGTGTGCCGGGAGGACAGGAGGCCGTGCTCAGAGGTGGATGTTCAAGTTTTGGAAGGTGGAACAGCTAGGGGTGATGACAAGGTCTAGGATGTGACTTTGAGAGTGGACAGTTGGGGTGGCATAGCGCAGAAGGTCACTGAAGGAGGAAATTGAGGAGCCTAGACCCCACGGTGGGGGATGGGAGTTGTCTATATGTGTATGTGTTAGGGGTCAAGTTTGGCTGCATGTAACAGACAACCCAAATAGCAACAGCTCAAATGAGACAAGAGTATTTCTTCTGACATAGCAAAAAAGTGCAGAAGCAGAGAGCTCAGGTCTGGCATGGTGATTCCAACATGTCATCAGCAACCCAGAGTTCATTGATCTTTTTGCTTCCCAGGGGTATGGCACTCTTTCTTCCTCATGCTTACCAGATGGCTGCTGGAATTCCAGCAATCACATGCAAATTCTAGCAATGAGCAAAGAGGAAGAGACGCGGTGAAAAGGAGGTGTACAGCAGCAGAAGGAAGCTCCTCAAATGAACCCTCCTAGACCTCCAGCTAGTAGCTTTTTCTATTGCAGTGGCCAGAACTGTGACAAGTGACCATCATTAGGGGAAAAAAGAGGCTGAGAAATGTAGAAGTTTGTTGCCACCTTATAGTTTCAAAGGAATTCCTTTCATAAGTACAAAATGCTCAGAGAAGAGGCAGAAGATCTAGGCTTTGGGGCAGCAGCTCCTAAGTGCAGAGTGGGCAGGTCTCAAGACTGAGGAGTGTTGGGATTCACTCAGTGTGGTTGGCAAAATATTAAGGGAAATACTAGGGAGAGTTGTAAGATTATAGTCTCAAACCTGGAAGGCCAAAAGGTTTTAATGGGACAGGATGAAGGCAGCCTGTTCTTACCTTAGAGCATTAGGTCATAGGGTGAAGATTTGGGAAAATAGAAGCTTCTGCAGTTAAGTCTGTTTACCCACATCCCTTTGTCTCTATTTTACTTGTTTACTGATGTAAACTTTGTGTTGGATGGTCCTCTCAGGGGGAGGTCGAAGGGGGATTACCTGTTAATGGTGTTTGTTCTGGGCCTGGGAACCAAAACCTTTTATCATTCATAAAACCACTCTTTTAACCATGTTAATTATCCACAAGCATGTTAACTTAGAACCTCCGTCATTAATTCTATACTGAATACATGTGAGGAAGGATAGCTAGTGAGGGGTCAGTTAGCTGCAATCGCCCTCTGAGAGCAGCTGACGACCTCCCTAACCCACGTGTGCTCTTTACTGCATGTGTGAGTGTATTTCATTTATCCATTGTGGAGTTGGGGTTTGCAGGACAGACCCCTGCAGGTGGTTATAGACATCTCGGAGGAGGGTTGGGACTTGGGTAGAGGAAGGCAGTGCATAGTATTGTGGAGGAAATGCTATGAAAGAGAAAGTTGAAGGCATGGACGCTTAAACTTTTACTATGACTAGTGAACACAAGGATGAAGGGCCAAGGGAATTCAGATTCCTAGTGGCCAGATTAAGACCTTTAGCGGCTCTGTCTCCCAGCCCCACATTCCCACTTCCAGGTTCTGCCTTTCACTGAAGCTCAAAGTCTGCAACCTTCATTCTCGGACTGCCTTACATTTTCCTAGGCTTCCTGCTAGCTTCTGCCAAAAGAGGCCCTGGCAGGAGATCAGATGGCAGGGGGCAGAGGTAAGGATTCCATGCAACAGGTGTGGAAGTTGCTGGTGTGGCAATGAAAACTGGGCCCTGGACAAGGGGGCACCACTTTGGTAGATTGAGTCAACCATGACAACTGTGACAGTGTCTTTAATAGTGCAGCAGTAGGCGCCGGCCCCTGGTGCTGGAATCCAATCCAGGCACAGGAGCAGCACGTAGTCACCAAACACCATCCTGCCTTCATCACTTCTCAGTTCTTCCTTCTCCCTCATACTCTCCCAGCTACCTGTGGAGATGTTTAACCTTTTTATCTGTAGGTATGTGCTTAGGAACTAAAGGAAAGGCAGGTTACCGCATGACTCAGCTTTCAGTTTAATTTTTTCTTTTGGCAGGGTGAATTGGGGTCCCAGGATTTTTTTTCATTTGTTTTGTTTTTTTTGGGACAGAATTTTGCTCTTGTTGTCCAGGCTGGAGTGCGTGGTGTAATTTCGGCTCATTGCAACCTTCACCTTCTGGGTTCAAGTGATTCTCCTGCCTCAGTTCTTGAGTAGATGGGATTGCAGGCGTGTGCCACCGTGCTCAGCTGGGGTCCCGGGTTTTTATTTTCCTTTAGTAGTATCCTCAACATGCAATTTCTTATAAAAAGAACAATAAACCTTAATGAAATTTGGTGTGTATTTTTCCAGACTTTTCTCTTTGATTTTATGTACATTTATCTGAATCCATACAGAGTATGTCACGTGTGTGTGTTTATATACATGTTATCCTTTTGTGTGCATCATTCTTCAATCTGATTTTTAAAAAAATATGGTGACTGATCTTGGAGATCTGTCCATGTTGTTACATCTATGAGATTTTTGTATTTCTTTTAATTAATGGTGTTCAAGTAGCCATTTATGTAATGATGAACATTCAGGTTTTTGCAATTTTTGCTCTTAATAAGTTGCCCTGGTGAACAAACATTCTTGTACATGTGCCAGAGTTTTTCTGGAGTAATTAACCAGCGTGGAATTACAGACTTGTAGAATGTGCTTGTTTTCAGTTTTATCAAAACGAAATCTTTAGTTTTACAATTTGCCCAGTTGTTCCTCAAAGTGGCCATGCCAATTTTTACTACCACTCACGGACAGGAGAGTGTCCTAATTCTTGATTTTTCTAAGCTCTTTAATTTTGGTTAGTCGGGAAATAAAATAGTACCTTGCTGTTTTCGTTTTCATGTCCCTATGGACTAATTTTAGCATTTAAGCATCATCCGATAGATTGGTGATGACTACTTCAGGCTGACTTGTCCTTGTGAGGTGGTGTTGCCCAGATTCCATGGTTTTCTGTGGCAGGCCTTGGAGATACCTCTTTTTGACAAAAAGATTCACTAAGAAGCTTACTGTGTTATCTTTTTAAAAATTAAAGTAATATTTTTTGAGTAGATAATAGGTACAGGTGTATATGTTTAGGAAATTTATGTACATGAAAATTTTTGATATGGCCATACAATGCATAATAATCTCGTCAGGGTAAATGGAATATCCATCACCGCAATCACCAGCATCTCTTGTGCTGCCAGAAAATGCTGCTGAGCTGTCAGTTGTCTGAAGCTGTTGGCCTGGACAAGGGCAAGGGGGAGAAACAAATCCCCAGGCTTGCCCAAGAGCAGGAGCTGTGCAGATGCCCCAGAATTGCAGGTGCCAAGCAGTGAGTAGCAAGCCTCTGTGGAGGGCCACCGTTTGCCCTTGGGGTTCATTATATTTCGGGGAAGCTGGACAGTGTTCTACGTCTACATATCTTCAGATGATATGTAATCCTGGGATTAATTTAGATTCTGAGGCTTCAATCAGCATCCAGTGGGGAACTATTTCTGCTTTGAGAAAACGGAGAAGAGCAGGACAGGGAAGGGAGGGGAAACCTGAGATCAGTTATGGTTACACTTCAGCTAATTGTTTCATTTTGTTTCCTACAAGATGCTACTCAGCAAGCTAAAGGAGTCACCTTCCCTGCAGATCTGTTATGTTCTGGCAGGAAAGGATCAACTCATTTTGTTTCTGGGAGACTCACATTCAAGTCCAGGCTTTGGGGCTTTGTGCCCTGTTTTCCTAACCCTAACACTGAGTCCTGCCTCCCTCGGGGCGGGGGAATGCTGCTGTTAGTGAGAAGCACCAAGTTAGAACTCAGGATCACAAATTTTGGCCTTCACGGCAACAGGAACTCTCTGGGTACCTTAGGCGTTTTTTCCTTAAGCTCTCTCTTCCTCAGTTTTTCAATCTCTAAGTGGGTGTGAGCATGCCTGTTGCACTGGCTCCTGTGGGATTGAAGATGACAGCAGGTGTGAGGGGTTTGGCTAAACGCCGCGGATATAGCCATCAGGTGCAAGCTCAGGTGTGCAGGAAAGTGGACTGGGAGTCTTTCCAGCCACAAACAACTAAAACCTGACCTTAGAAGTAAATAGTATATGTATTTTGGGATGAAACCGCTTGGCCGGGGCGATTTCCGGCCTGTCTTCCCGGGAAACTGGGCAGCAGGCTGAGAGATTTTCAAAATGAGGACAAGCTCTGAAGACCAGCCCCGCGGCCTCCGGCTCTTCCAGGGCCGCAGAGCTCCGGTCGGCTTCCGCGCGCCACCTGGTGCCGCGTCCCCGCCACTGCCCAGAAACCACGTGTAAGAAAGTGCTTACAACCTAACTACGCACTGCGGTTTCCACCCATTCTGACCAATAGGGAAGGAGGAGGCGGGGCGGAGGAAAGCGAGGGCCCAATCACCTCCCGCCTTCCGAGGGAAAGGCGGGGCTTGAGGTTTACCACGTTGGGTTTGTCCGCAGCGCTAATTACTTTTTCCAAAGGCCGGAGGGTTTCACTCCGCTTGGCGCCGCCGCCTCGCGCGCTCCTGCTTCGCCGTCACGGCCCGGGGGGCTGCCGGTCCCGGGTACCATGTGTGACGGCGCCCTGCTGCCTCCGCTCGTCCTGCCGGTGCTGCTGCTGCTGGTTTGGGGACTGGACCCGGGCACAGGTAGCGCCCCTCCCACGGCCGCCTTCGCCCCCGCGTCCAGCAGCTGCCTCCCCTCTGCGCTCGTGCGGCGTCCTGGCGGCCCCGGGACCGCTGACCGCGCCCGGGCTGAGGAGGCTCGGGCCGCGGCCACAGGACGGGACTCGGGTGGTTCCGTGGTAGGCGCGCCGCCGCCGCCGGGTCTCCGCTGGCCGAGGCGCGGCGCTGTCCCGGGAGGTGCTCGGGCTGCTGCTCCGGGGACCCTCCCCGGGTGGCGCGGGCCTGCGCGGAGGTGCCGGGCGAGGGAAGGGAAGGCAGCGCCCGCTCCGGGTCGTGCTGTCCCGGCGCTGGCGCGGCGGGAGGCCGGCGGGAGGGCCGGCGGGAAGGCGGGCCCCGCGGCGCTGACGCGTCTCCTCTCTCCCCGCAGCTGTCGGCGACGCGGCGGCCGACGTGGAGGTGGTGCTCCCGCGGCGGGTGCGCCCCGACGACGTGCACCTGCCGCCGCTGCCCGCAGCCCCCGGGCCCCGACGGCGGCGGCGCCCCCGCACGCCCCCCGCCGCCCCGCGCTCCCGGCCCGGAGAGCGCGCCCTGCTGCTGCACCTGCCGGCCTTCGGGCGCGACCTGTACCTGCAGCTGCGCCGCGACCTGCGCTTCCTGTCCCGAGGCTTCGAGGTGGAGGAGGCGGGCGCGGCCGGGCGGCGCGGCCGCCCCGCGGAGCTGTGCTTCTACTCGGGCAGTGTGCTCGGCCACCCTGGCTCCCTCGTCTCGCTCAGCGCCTGCGGCGCCGCCGGCGGCCTGGTACTGCCCGCGCCGCCTCCGCGTCGGCCCGTCGGGTCTGTCCCGGCGCAGGGTCGTCGCCGTGGAGGGTGGGGGTGGGGCGCCTCTGCGGAAAGTCCAGCCTCCAGGGGAACCGTAGAGAAGCCCCTGCCTTTCCACCTCTCCCCATCCCCCACCCCTACCTTCAGGACCCTCTATAGGCAAAGCGGGTGGAAGGGGCAGTCTCCGAATCCAGCGCCTCTGTAGCCCGTGGAACACGCCTGAAGCTGGGGCTGCGTGGGGTCTACGCCGCCCGCACAAGGGAGCGCGGATCTAGCAGGGATGAAACTGTCAGGGTCCTGAACAGAGGCGCCTTGGCCGGTGCGGAGAGTTTTTGGACGTGGAGGTAGGGGAGTGCGCAGTCACCTCTCTCCTGTTTGAGTGTTCTTTCTGTACCTGGAACAGGAAGTTGGGAGAAGTGCCCACACAGGCCACCGCTAACCCCGCTCTTACCGAAACGTAAGAAACAGGAGAGGAAGGGCTTTTGTCCTTGTTTCCTTATACTATTAGAAGGCATTTATCTTGTGCTCACCCCCAACCAGGCCTGAAGGATGGTTACCTTGGTGATAAGCTCTATTCCTGTCCCCAGAAGCTCCCTTGTTGTGGCAGTAACTTCTCCGTGTCCCCAAATCCCTGCCCTGTGGCATTTGAGGCACCTGTGACAGGTGCTCTTGGGGGCAAGCGAGTTCTTGTGTGCACTTGCCCTGCCTGTGCACACACTTGATCATGTGGCTACACTGGTGTCCATACGCACTCAGCTCCGTGCCCCGAAGGCAGCACACGTTGTCGGCAGATCGCCTGCCCCCAGCAAAGCTTGGTATGGACCCAGAGCATGAAATGGAGGGTTTTTTTCCTCTGTCTTCTGTCATGACTGGCCTCTGGAGAGGCAGTTTCTGATATTAGTTTGTGTCTGTCCTTCCCGGGCACAGGAAACTGCTCTCTCCACCTTTTCTTATGCCACTAGCTAGAATTCCTCAGCCTTTACCCGCAGGGTCTGTGGCAAGACCCCGAGAATCCAGGGAGCCAGAAGGCCTGGGGGTATAAAGTCTTATGTAAGACCTCTCCTTTCTTCCCGGTGCTGCGGGTAACTCTGGGTGGTTTCCTAGATCAGCCTGGCTTTCCTTTCAAGAATGTTCTGAGTTCTGATTAGGGTATGATCTGGTTTTGCTCAGCTGGGAAAATAGGCAGCTTTGGTGAAACAAGGAAAGTGATATATAGATCTTGGAGGGGGCCTGGTAGGAGGGAATGCTGACCAAGGGCTGGGAGGCTGGAGTGGGAGTGAGAAAGGCTCAGATCACTGTAGGGCTTGGGTCAAGGCTGTATCATGTTCTGGGAGGGACTGGAAGGCCCACATCATTTTTCCTGTTTTTGCCAAAGTGTTTAAAGTCTAGGTCACATCATTGTACTGTACATGGAAACATCTGAATCCCATTTGCTGCGGTTTAGTGAGTTTCTGTAGAGGTCAGAGTTTATACTTCTTGGTGTAAAGTTTCCAGCAAGGAGCTATCTGTGAAGGAGCCGAGGGTGAAAATCTGGATAACATTGATTTAAAATCCTCGCAGAGTGAGGGCTGGGCCCTCTCATAGATGGCATCTCAGCCAGCTTCTCAGCAAGACTGTCCTTCCCTTCAGCACCATGTGAGGGTGCTGTGCTTTACATAAAGGAACCCGGCCAACAGGCTGAGTTCAGTGTGTGCCAGTGGTGGGTGTACCTCTAAGACTTTGGCTTTTAAATTCCTGCTTTAGTTGGAATTCCTGTTTAGTCCGCTGTGTTCATCCCGTTCGTGTGAGCTGGACGTTGGACACTTGCCCCTCAGTACGTGTTGAAGGCAGGAGGGAAGAGACAATGGGGTGACTTGGAGGTGGACCCCTTGGTTACAAGGTGGTCCTGAAAGCGTAAAGAAAGGAAAGCAGCAGGAATTTGGGCCAATCACGTTTGCATCACAGACTAGCTTTGGCTTGGGTTCTCAGTTCAGGCGGCCGGGGATGCTGTGTGTCTCTCGGCCGTAGTGAAGCTCTGTGAAGTGGAGCTGTAGAGGGGGGTGTGTGTATTGTCTACAGCAGTCTCCGCTACAAGGTGTGGGAAGGAGTGATGAAGTAAATGATCTTTGGTGGCCATGGATGGGGGGCATTTCAAAGTGTCCTTGTATCCAAAAACGAGCAGCAAGGGTCGGCAAACTTCTTCTCTTAAGGACCAGATAATACTTGAGGCTCTGTGGGCCACACAGCCTTTGTTGCAGCCGCTCAAAGCTGCCCGTCTAGTGTGAAAGCAGTTGCAGCTGCGGACGGCTTACAAGCAAACGGCTGTGGCTGCGTTCAGCAAAGCTTCATTCCGGATGTTGAATATCATGTCAATTGCTGGTAAGTCCCACTCTATCTAACATTTCCAAAAGGCCTCAGCAGAGTGTGTGGAGTGCCTGTGCTGGGGGCACACTGGCTCGGTTCCATGTTGCATGGAATCTGTGCTGTTGGTCTCCAGACATGTTTGCTATTTGTTTAAAAGAGATGCATTATTAGAATAGATCATTCCTTAGCTGTTTAGGGGCCTTGGAGAGTAAAACACCTGTTCCATTTTTGCTCCTTCTCCTTTTGACGGCAGGCAGAGGCATGGGCCTGTGGCATTCCCTTCATGGTCTTATCTGGGCCAGCTGTGCTTTTTGGATCTTCAAAGACCATAGACTTAAGTATGAATTGTCTTCTGTTTATGCTTCTTCATTGTATTTACATTTCCAAGAGTCTTTAGACAGAGCGTAGGTTTTTTGGAAGGGTTTCTGTGAGTGTATCATTTCAAAGCAATGAACTTTAGGCATATGAGGAAGGCCTTTCCACTCCTAATGAATTTATGTAAGTTTGGATCAGCTGTCTCTGTGACCAGGGCCGGATCATGGAAGGCCAGTGGAATTGGAATCAGGCTGAACCTCGTAGGTAGGCAGGAGAGCAGAGCAGGCACTTCAAGGACAGCATGAGCCTGAGGCTCTGAAAAGAATTTGTGTGGCTTGTTCAAAGTGAGTGGACTTGTTTTAGGAAGTATGAATGAGAGGAGGGGAGGGCTGGAGGCCCCTGCTGTTGGGTGTGGTCTGCAGAACAGCGGCCATCCTTCTTTGGATGATACTCACAGAGCTTGGGAAGGCCACCCACTGGAATGTGTCCACCCCTTCTCGGCCAAGGCTGTGGCCTGCCAGGAGCACAGTGTGAGATGGTGGGACCAGACAGACCACCAAGGCGCTCTGGGCTACAGATCACTAAGTCCTAACTGTTTCCAGCCTACCTTGAAGGACTGTGAGAAGGTCAGGGATCCTCCTCTCGTAGTTTCTCTGTTGTCACAGCCACATGCTGTAGGACTCTTATTTGGAATCCTACAGCAAATAAGAGGTCAACCTGGTGGCCCAGCCCACCCCTCACTCTGGCTGGTCAGCCTGATGGCAGACCTTATGTCCATGTGGGTAGCAGATCATTTGTACTGCATGGGACATTCATAGTTCTGTACGGCTGTTCCTCCCAGTCCACTTGAAACTTTTAGAGAATGCTCACCTCTATTTTTAGGGGAACTAGTGTAGTCCAGATAAGAATAGATGGGGCTGAGCTTAGCCAGCTCATGAGTAGGCAGCTTAGGTTAGAAGCGTTGGGGACCCCGTTTTTAAGAGGGCAGCCTGCGTTTGCATGATTCCTGTGATGAAGAAGCAGGTTTGGGATATCACCACCTCTTTCTTTACAAAAGAGTTATCAAGCCCTCTTTGATTGATTGATTGATTTACAAAATCGCCCAGCTTTATAAGGCAGCCTCATTCGATGGAGAACAGCTGAGTAGGAATTGGTCTTGGCAAAAATGTGGCGTGGAGACCCTTTGGAAGGGACTGCATTATAATACATCGTTATATTCAGACGGATCTGAGGAAGGTGTGGTAGTCCTGAGTGATGGCTTGTTGTTAATTGATCCTGTGCAGCATAAATGTATTTGGAGAATACAAAGCACATATTTAGAAGTTTGTAGAAAGAAACGATGGGGTGGATGCTAAGTGGCATTTTGGCAGGAAAAAAAAGGCAAAGACAGTTGCCTGAAGTTTGGAGCCTCGGAAGTATTGGAGGGAAGAGCTCAGAAAGTTCTGAGGCCTCTGGCTGCCACCTCTGGAATGACATTTCCATGGCCTCACAATGGCTTGTCTTCGTTCCCCTCTGTCCTCTCCAGCCCTGCATATGCTTGGGTTCCTCCTGATTGCCCAGGGCTTCCTCCAGCTGCAGCTCTCCAGGGCTGGGCTGACTCCTCTTAGGGTGCCAGGCACTGACTGCTGCCACATCAGGCTACCCACGAGCATCGTCTAAGACACATACTAGATGACCCCACTTTGAACTTTTGTTTAGTCGACAACATTAAGAAGCATGAAAAAGAAGTATAGGATGCGACAGCGAACTGAAGCTGTCGCCTTTGACTGACTGAATTCTTGGAGCTTATTTCCTGAACTCTGAAGTACTGTGGCGGCCTGATCCTGGGCGTGTGTGACTGGGAAGACGTTGTTTGCGGCCACTACATCTGAGGGAACCATGTGGAGTCGTTGGTTAACTTTTCCCTGGACATGCTTCTGTGGACAGGTCCCCAGATACATGGTTATACTCTTGCTCCTTAGGAAATGAAACTATATGGCCATTTGGGGCTGTATCTTGAGACAGCCGCTTAACTCCTTTGAACCTCTCTGCCTACAGCCATGCAGGGTAAATAACGTGGGCTTACAAGACTTTTGGGAGAATGGAAGGAGATAGTCTATGAAATCATTAGTGAGAGCCTGGCACATTAAGGCATTAAAAAGAGGCTCCTCCTCCTGCCCCTGCGGGCTGTTTGCAGACCTTTCCAGTTATCCATCAGCGGATCAGTCATCATTCTTCCCTGAATGAGCAGATCATTATCACACACCTGCCGTGTGCAGGGTGCTCTGGTAGGCGCCCAACAAGGCTCAGAGAAAGACAATACAGGCCCTATCTGGGAAGACA